CTCCAGAGCCAGAGCCGAAGGATACAAAGCTGACACTAGGGTACGCCAGAATTGTGTTAGAAAACGTGCCGTGCCATTACGGGAGACAAGATTTAACCCTCGTTTCCCAGTTATTGTTGGTGGCCTGGCGCCTACAGAAGATCGATTTGGCTTTGTCCAAGTCAGAATTAAAAGACACCGTTGGCATAAGAAAATCCTCAAGACGAACGACCCCCTCATCTTCTCTCTTGGCTGGCGTCGATTCCAGACCACTCCAGTCTACAGCATCTCCGATTCCCGAACACGCAATCGCATGTTAAAATATACCCCGGAGCATATGCATTGTTTTGGCACTTTCTATGGTCCTCTTGTGGCTCCCAACACAGGCTTTTGCTGCGTTCAATCATTCTCGAATAAGAACCCGGGCTTCCGAATAGCGGCTACCGGTGTCGTCCTGAATGTGGACGAGACTACGGAGATTGTCAAGAAACTCAAACTAACCGGATACCCGTACAAGATCTTCCGAAACACAGCCTTCATCAAGGATATGTTTACCTCTGCTCTCGAAATTGCCAAGTTCGAAGGCGCCAGCATCCGTACCGTTTCCGGGATCCGCGGCCAGATCAAGCGCGCTCTGAGCCGTCCGGAGGGGCATTTCCGGGCTACGTTTGAAGATAAAATCCTCATGAGCGACATTGTGTTCTTGCGTGCTTGGTATCCCATCAAACCACACCGATACTACAACCCCGTCACCAACCTTTTGGATGAAATAGATGAAGATGGTTGGAAAGGCATGCGCTTGACGGGAGAAGTTCGCCGTGAGCAAAACATCCCAACTCCACTTGAGAAGGACTCTGCATACAGGCCGATTGAGCGGGTCACTCGACATTTCAACCCCCTCCGAGTCCCTCGCCAGCTAGCTGCGGACCTTCCCTTCAAGTCTCAAATTACGAAGATGAGACCTCGTCAAGGTGAATCATATCTCCAAAAACGTGCTGTGGTCTTAGGTGGCGAAGAGAAAAAGGCCCGCGATCTGTTGCAGAAACTCACCACCATGCGGAACGAGAAGATAGCGAAGAGACAAGCTGCGCAGGAAGAGCGGAGGAAGGTTTACCGTGCCAAGGTGACGGAGAATGCTGAGAAAAAACAGGAGAGGGAAAAGAGGGAGCGCGATGAATATTGGCAGCGAGAGGGGAAGAAGCGGAAGAACGATGGCGGAGACGGAGGAAGAGGAGGGAAGAAAAGAAGGTGACGAATTTGAGTGTGTGTTGATTTCAGTCTCATCATGAAAATAGTAGTCCTCGTACTTAATATCTGGAGACGTTTTATATGGTGCCCCTCTATGGCAGCTGCATTATTGGTTTTCTTTCTTCATCTTTGCTACAATATCAACGGTTGAGATACCAGCATTTTTAGGAAATTGGTTTAGATATATACCTCTTGTATACATGCAGTTCAGCGTATCATTTCTCCCTGCTCCTTCTTTTCTCCTTTACTCCTCCTTTGAGATCGTTACCCCATTCAATTATATCACGTGTTGCTCGCGCACATGACCGCGCCGCGACGCGTCTCGATCCGGCAAGTCGAGACCTCATCCATCGTCGTTTGCATTTTTGCAGCGACACCAGGCGATCGGTAGACTTGCTTTTTGAAGAGACGTCGCGGGGCAGAGTGTTAAGCTCATGGAGAGCAAAGCACGATCCACTGTCGACGACGATATCATTGCTGGAGCATGGCCGGACTCACTCGGGTTGTCGCCGCACACGCTACTACGAGGTCAGCCTGCTTACCGACCCATTGACTGCCATTCTCGGAGCATCCGCGACCTGGCTGCCAGAGAGCTACAAAACCGCCAGTTTATCGCATAATCGTGGCTCAAAATCGCTCAAGCAAGGATAGAAAGATCGTTGCCGGCCTAAGGCCCTCTAGTTAGGCAGCGGACCGTTGACTTTTCGCGTGACGTTGCTGTGTGGGAGTGGAACGAATTTTTCGCCGTTGAACCCCAGCCACGCGACGGCCGATCAGACTGCAGACAACAAACGAGAAACCCACCACCTGCAATATCTGCGATAACAACCAGCACCCCCAGCAATATTCCCGGGGCCACCGATTACTTTTGCCCCTTCTCACGCAAGCCGGGTGGGCCATCACCAACATTGGGAACTACTCCAAGACATGTTCGGAAGCCAAGCCTTGTTCTTGTACTCGGACCAGCCACCTGCGCAACCTCCGGCTTCACCATCGAGACTCGTCAACGGCGGGCACCTGCCTAACAACAGCGATTGTAATTTTCAGTCGATCGTCTCATCCTGCGGCGACAGGGAAATGGCAGAGCCAGGCCATTCTACTAATTTCAATACCATCGATAGTAACAATACGTCTTCAGCGCTATCGGCTATGAGCAACGATATCCTTCCTCGCCTTCACACGTCCTCCAGCACTCTCTCACATTCCTCCTTTGCTGATGTTATTGACACGAATGCCACTCCATCCACACCGCTATCCGGACTCTCAAACCACGACTATCCCCAAATCCCATTCTCCCGCTCTCCAGCGAAAACCCCCACAGCCTCTCATACCCATGCACATTCGCGGAGCGTAGATATCGGATCACTGCGCTCGTCTGGCCTTCTCAAATATACCGTTGTAAATTCGCCGATTGATGGTCAGCTGGGGGGAAACACGGCGATCGACATTTCTCAAGGACAAAAGAGGATGGCTAGTGGAGAGGTGAAATCAACCGGTTCCCCAATATTTATCCGAAGTCCAGAATCAGTCATGGCTACTCGCCGATCTGGGACAATAAGCACCGATTCAAATAGTAGCAGAATTTCGGAGGTAATAACTACTCAACCAGCAGAACACTCCTACCTGCCCGTGCATCTTTTGTGCTAATCGGTGATACTCCAGTTATCCGCTCAACTTCGTGCTCGTTTATCTTACGCGGCAGCGAAAGTTGAAAAAGATTGGCCAATCCGCCAGCTAGAAGAAACACATGCAGTCCCTCCACGATTTGGCTGTTCATCCGCGTCGCAGTCTCCCCTGCCAGTAGGGTTCAAAAGCCCATTCCGTTCTCCCAGGGGAGCTTCACACTCACGAGGCCGACATAGTATTAGTAGCACTTTACAAGACAATGGATTGCCCAAGCTCCGGAATCCTGATTTCACTCACATGACATCATCTGTGTCTCCAACGAATGCATCTGCGCGTCGTAACAAATCCTCTTCACCGAATAGACGTGCTAGCACATATATTCCGCCTCCCGTTGCCGTCGCAAATTCTGATCCACCACGCCTCGCTCCGCCCGCTGATATTGTATCTGGGAACGGCAATGCAACGCGTCGCCGACCAAATCCCAATGACACCCTATTACAAACCGCGTCGGCGAACCAGAACTACCATCCTCGAAATGAGTCGTTTGCAGATGGGGGATATTCCGTTTCATCTACCCAGACGACTACTTCGACTGTGGCAATTCTCGACACATCGCCGGATTCGCAACCTCAATTATCACGCCAGTCCGCGACTCCATCTTCCATCACAGCTACCACCACTACCACCACCACGAGGCCAGTTCCGAAACAAAGAACGCCATCCCAAAATGCGCTTATGGAAAAGGATGCTATTGAAACTTTGCTGTTCATGTCAAGCCCTGAAAATTCAGGGTATCATCCAAACTCCCAGCAAACGCAACAGAATGAGTATCGCGGCATGCATCTTACTCTTCCTTCGCCTTCCTTACCCAGACCCTCGTCCCAACAATCCTCCCCTATCGAGGGTCGTTTGGGTCTGGGGATCCGCCATAACACCCCGAATGCGATCCGTCCCGTTCGCAAGGTCAGTTTTGCCGATGACACGAGCAACAGCTCGAGCGATGCGCATCCAAGAAATGGACCTAGCGGCCTACGGGAACATGAAGCAGGCGATGCGATTGACCGTATGCTAGACGAACTTGGTGATAGCGATAGTGAATCGGAAAGTGACTGGCTTATGCGCTTTATGAGCCAGTCCGGCGGCGAATCAATGCGGCCGAGTAGTCGTGGTTAAGCTAATGATTTGAGTTACTGTTGCCCCCTTTATATCTCCCTCGGAAAGGCTCCCCGTGTTGTTGGTTTGCCTATTCTGGTTCGCTGGCCTTGGCTTGCACGATTATTTTTGATCCACAGAGCATTGACAGGAGAGGAAGAAAGTGGTTTACTGTCGAACCCGTTTTCGTAATGAACTGGTGTTGTTCTTCGGATCGACCTCTTATTCTGAAACAACAATTCCACCCCTGTCTCCCATTTTAAATTTTTGCTTTTTAACTCCAACCTTATTCTTCATTTTTGTTATCCATTTTTGACTTCACATAGCCAGGAACTTACTCTAGCCACAAAAAAAAAGAAAGGAAAAGAAAAAAAGACAAAACAGAAGTAAAGAGAACGACCTCTCCATCTAAGAACTATTTTCTTTTCAGGAACTCGCTTCAATACTCTCGTATCACCTTCCATGGGATGTATATACGCGTCGATCATTTTCTTCCAGGCAAACATGAGCACCCGACATGACTGAGATGACCTATGTTTTGATCTTTTTCTCCTCTGTTCTTCAGTTTGAACTGTGATATTACGCATTCATTTTATGCACTATACATGTCCATGTGATATCCCGGTTTACTTGTGCATATTTTATTATATATTTTTGAATTGGAAAAATTACAGGTGAATTGAATACGCATAATATAAGATACATGCATACAGCTATCCTTCATATTTCCGGTGGCTTTCCCCATTTGGTTTGAATTTTGACTTGCACATCACACCAAGCTATCACAAAACCGATCAAATCATTCTACCAGCCAAATTCATCCACTTGGATTGAATCGCCATTCATTTGGTTATATATATTGTTTCTGGCGTTGATATCAATAATGCAATGACGGGGTCCGCTTCACTGATAGCTGTCGCATCACCACATATACACCCATCCATCGCATCGCATCCCAATTCCACGTCTTCCATTCAAGCAACACTCTCAATGCGCTACATAGCCGCCGTCAACCGCCAACGTCGTCCCCGTCACCCAGGAGGCGTCCTTCGATGCCAAAAACACAGCTGCACCAGTGATATCCTCTGTTCTACCTAACCGCGAATCGAACGGATGCTGGGAGACCAGGTGGGCATGCAATGCCCTTTTGCGCGGGTTGTCGCTGTTCGCGTCGGCGAACGTCTCGCTCAGGCTTGTCTCTACCCATCCTGGGGCGAGGGCGTTTACATGACTATTTTTTTACTTTTATTAATTTTCAAGTTCCTCGCAGAATTAGGTTTCTTGAGAGGGAAGGTGGATGAGGAAAGCCGACATTTTATCGCCCCCATATTCCAAAGCCACAGACTTTGTGATACCAACTACCGCGTGCTTGGATGCTGCGTATGTGCTTGCGCTGGGCCCACCAACGTTCCCGTAGATGGAGGCCATGTTGATGATCCAGCCCCTATCACCGCTTGAGTGGGGGTCTTGGGCGAGCATCTGCTTCGTGGCGAATTCTTTCATTGGGGGGAGAGAGGTGGTTAGCTTTGATATGCATATGTACGTGCACATGCCATGGATTGCATTGGAGTGGACGATGGGATGGGCATATTTGTATATGATACAACTTACTGCATCCAAGCCAAACCCCCTTCCCGTTGAGCCCCATGACTCTATCCCAGGACTCCTCGGGTGTCTCGTGGATACGGTCTCCAGGCCGCTGGTGGCCTGCGGGGGATATCCCAGCGTTGTTGACGATTCTATATTTATTGAATGTATTCGATTGTTTCATTTTGTCAAGGCGCTGTTTACTGGATTTTCTTTTCGTCTTCCCTTTGTTTCACCTTGCCACGAGAGCAAGCAAAAAAAGTATAAGGGAGGGTATGAATGTTGGGGATGCCAGAGAAACGGAAAGTCGGGTGCCCCAGTTGGTGAAGGAAGACCTACATATCCAGTCTTCCAAACGCTTTAACACACCCCGCAATCAGGTTTTCTACATCATCAGAAACAGAGGCGTCCGCTTTGACGAATACAGCACGGGTTGTGGTCTTGCCGCCCGGAGTGACAGGATAGGCCTCATTGATAGCTTCGTGGGTGGGTTGGTTGTCATCGCCTGCGTAAAGAAGGGAGTTAAAACGGCGTTTTTGTTAATGAATTATGTTACATGTACTGTACATTTCCAATTTTCCATTCATTCGTTGGTAAAAAATATATAATTCTGATGACAGAGTACCCCTTTCCCCTCAATAAAAGTATGAAATGAGCAGGGAAAACCGATATAGCCATCGGAGCGACAAATAAGAAAGTGATCCTCGCACCCATGCCGGTGCGGAGAGTAAATAAGAGAGAGGACAAGCCAAAATCAACAAACCTTTAGCCGCAGGATCAATATCAGCGCACACAACATAGGCACCCTCAGCAGCATATCTGAGCGCAATGGCCCTCCCGATCCCATTTGAGCTGCCGGTGATAACAGCAACTTTGTCCTCGAGACGCGCAGACATGGTTGGCGTATTTCTTTTATGCGACTGGCCGGTATGTATTAATTCCCAGATGGGTCCTTCTTGGTGAAGGAAGTGCTACTGGGTAATTTCTCCAGTGGAATGCGGATAGTATAGGTAAAGAACTTGCCCCCTTTTGTTATCAAAACCGAGTTGATGATGCTGAGCAGGACAAATGTGTACCTGGATGGATAAATATATTTGCTGGAAAACGGACAACCATTCTCGTCCACTGCTCCACTGCTCCTTAGCTGCAGCACAAGCGCCGAGCAGTCGTATATTGGAGCGGAGGATATCGGGTCGCTGACGGGGTACTGGATTAAATAGTATCCTGGTATGTGCTGGGATTAAGTTGGGCAATTGAAACCTGCCAAAAACTACAATAAAACTGTGGACTACTCGCTTGTTTGACTAGTAGTACCTGTAAGTTGTGTCGGGATATATCCATTATCCATTCCAGCCAGCCAGCCAGCGTTTTTCGCTGTATGCAGTGGGTAAAAGCAAAGCGAATCCTTTGGCCCGCTTCATACAACAATATAATTACATTGTTGTCGATTACTGCCGCTCACCTGACAGTTTTTCAAGTAGCCAGGTATGGCTAGCTCTGGTCCTTCTGCTGGAGGGGGCAAGGATGGCGTCCAACTGATGTCTGTATGGGTGCAAATTTTGCCTCCACCACCCACTCTTGACTGTGTATGTTCTGGATGGAACATCATCACTGTGTTTCTCTCCTAGGAAAAAGAATAACCGATACAGCCGAGGAATTGAGAAAGGAGTATAACGTGCCGGATTATTCAGTTATTTATGCGGCAGTGTTCTGCATTGGAAATATAAAGATTGCTGGAAGAAATCAGAAGGTGAGGCGCCGGAGGGAAATATATTATAGGCAGGGGGAAAGATAGCGAAGAAGACAAGACCGAAAATGGAAAATAAATTTTTTAAAAAAGGAAAAAGGAGGAAGAAGGGGAAGGTCACTGCTAGAGATAGTAGCTCTTTTCTCTTCCCCAGGACATCCATGAGTAAAAAATACAATAGGAGTAACAACGAGGAAGAAGTATCACCTAGAAATGCATTAAAATCAAACGATGAAAAGGTGCCAAATAGTCGCAACAACAACAACCACCAAGACGATCCGATCCGTGAATGAAGAGCAAAAAGAAAGGGATAATAAAGGTATTTCCAGCCCATCCATCCGTCCAATTTCATCCACATATATTAAAAATTCCACATTCGACATTTCTTTCACGCCCACGCATCATCCATCTCCGCCACATCATAATCAACCTCATGCTGACCACCCGCATCCTTCCGCAGCATCATTGAATCAGTCTCATGGCTAGTCCCATTATCACCAATATGGACAATCTCGTCTCCTTTCTCTGCTGCATAACCCTGATGCTGGAGCAGCGGCGGCGCAGAGACAGAGTTGTCACGGGTTCCTGACGCAGAAGAGGAATTATTTGCAACCCATGAGAACTCTACTTTGCCCACCGATGGGATATCCGTGGGACCGTACATGAGCTTCTCAGCGACGTAGCGGTCCTTGAAAGAGACGATTTGCGAGTCGGGTTGGTCTGGGTTTGGTTCTATGCTTTCATATTCGCCAACCCCCTGTGTGTGAAAGGAAAAGCTATTAGTATATATGTGTATGTATAGATAGATGTATGTATGTATGACTTCGAACGCGAAAGTGACGTTTGATTATGAAATGAGAAAAACATACCAAAAGAAACTGCCTCAACGCCTCATCCTTCTCAGCGTTGAACTCGACGCCAGATACAGCAACACACCTGGGCCGATTGTCAAGCCGCAACACACCGCCCCGACCTCGCGGCACACTGCCCCGGCCTCGGTAAGTCCCACCACCACGGAACGCAGGGTCAAAGCCACGACCCCTGGCTCCGAAGGCACCTCTCCCGCCTCGATACCCAACCCAAACCCTGCCACGGCCCCGGGGAGGGTATTGCGGATCCGATAGCGCCGGGTCCAGGCCTAGACTTTTAGCCTCCGCTTCAAGCGCCGCCAGCTGCGCACGCAACATCTTCGTCTGCTCGCTAACATTTTCGTCAGGGTGAGAAGACGATGATGACGCCTTTATCGTATCCGAATCAGCTGCCGCAGGCGAGGTGCCCTTCATTCCATCCGCTTCATGCGGCCGCTGCGAACCGAGCCGCTGGAGTAACCTCGCCTTCTCCTCCTGTTGTCTCTTCAACAGATCCTCCTTCTGCTTCTCAAGCGCTAGTCTTGCCTCTTCGGTCTCCTTTCGTTTCTTCATCTTTTCCTCGTGCTGTCTTTGCGCTTCGGCTTGTTGCTTCTCGAATTCCTCCGAATCGAAAGGCTTTTCGTCTGATTTGTTGGGATGGTGATGATCACCGGCTCCATTTGTCTCAGATTTCGATCCCGGCTTATACCAATAAACTTTCACAAACCGGTTGTCGAAGATGACTTTCGGACTTGCCCAAGCACGACGTGCCGCTGCCCAGCTGTCGTATTTCACAAGGGCCAAGTGTTTATATGGTTGCATAGTAACCTCGACAATATTGCCAAACTCAGAAAAGAACTCGCGCACGATGGCCTCGTCAAACTTATCCTCTGGGATCTGCTCGACGACAATCGTGGTAATCGATCTATCCTCATTTGGCCCGGCCTGCGAAAATTCAGCGCGATTCCGTCGGGGGCCCGTGAAACCGCCTCGATCTCCCCTACCGCGACTACGGCCACGCCCGCCTTTATCACCAGCCCGAGAAGCTCCCGCTAAGCCGTGGCCATTTGTAGCACCAAGCGGTCTATCCAAGACAAGATATGACTTCGTAGGGTCATATTCTGCGACAATAACAAAATATTAGTGAAAAATACCTTCCCCGTTAAAACGAAAAGAAAGAATAAAAGTTATATTACCGTCATCCCTCGCTGGTGCCACTAAATGATCTGTCCCATGCTGATACGGACACGTACTCCCCAACACACAAAACCCTTGTGTATCATAATCCACGCATCTTTGGGGAATGCTACCAGGCGCCGGCGATGTGCTCGCCGACGGCTGGCTGGGGCCCGGCGCGCCCGTCGAAGCGGGCAGATGAGGGAGCGGGGGCATACCAGGGATTTGTGGAAACCCCATGGCTGCCTGTAGCGTCATCATGGCAGCAATGGGATCGCTGGGGTTGAAGGGAGAAAATCCAGCTGAGGTAGCAACAGGAGCCATTCCTTGGAACCCGCCGCCGGCCGGTTGCTGCTGTTGCTGCTGCTGGTGGTTTAGATGTGCGGGGCCCATTCGCCCATTGCTAATGTTGTTGTTGTGATTATTATTATTATTTACAAGCACGCGACTATCCCCGCGCCCACCACGGCGACCTCGCATGGATTTAAACGGCCGATCCGCGCGGTTATAATGTAGATCATGGTCGTCGCCAGCCTGTGGTCCTTCGTTGAAGGCACGTTTTCTGGAGAAGCTCGATCTGCCGGTGCTTTCAAAGCTGCCTGTGGCTGGCGGGTTGGGTCTTACATTGGTTTGTCCGTGGCCAAATGGGGCCCTGGATATCGTATCGGAGGGGATGGTTTGTTCCTGTGGTGGAGCGACTGCCATAACGACGGCGGATTCCGGAGGTTGTTGGTGGGGAGTTGGTTGAACTTGGGCTTGAACAAGCTGAGGCTTAGGGTTGAATTTGGTAAAGATCTCGTCGACGAAGGCGATGGTATCTAAACCGAGAAGAAAATTAGGTAAGACAATTAAAAAGTCACTGTCAGGGGAAGAAGTGATCAAAATAAAAATGGGATATATATGATTAAACCACTAACTCTCTTTCAAAAAATCCTCCAAATTTTCCACAGAAGCTTTCCGGATATCTTCATCGGGGGCATCGGACCGGATCAAGGCCAGTACATAATCCGCCAATACGTCCGAGTCCGCATCAGATCTGTCATGAAGAACACATTAAAAAGTAGAAAGAATTAGTTTTAACCGTGTCTGGACATAAGGAAAAATGAGCAAGCAAAACGGGCGCCTCCCCGAGAACAAGGGAGAAGAAATAAAACGGAAAAAACATACATATCCTCCAACCTCTTGACAACCCATGCCTTAACCTCCGCCGCCTGTTCCTCCGTAAATTGCATCCTGAATCCCCCTCCTCTTTTCTCCTTTTTCCCTCTTTGCTTACCCTTTTTTTTTTTTTTTTTTTTTTTTTTGCCTGCTTTAATTGTTTTTTACACAAGGAACTCCTCGCCCTTAATGCGAGAAATTCAAAAGCGGGGGGAAGGAATGACGGTATTCGTATAAGAAGTAACCTATAGATCTATCGAAAGAACAGACGACAGCGTCGGATTTAATTCGGACAAGGCGATTCGTTCGCAAACGAATTCACAAATCCAATATTCCTGTCGCGTTTTGCGTTCCCGTATAAAGTGGTAAACCGATGCAGTATGTTTTCTCTCCCGTCCCCTCTTTATTCTCGCTCTCCTATTTTCCCGGCGCGTGCGTGGGGATGAAGAAAAGAGCGGCCTGGATAGGAGAAAGGGGATTATGTGTTTTTCTTGTATTCTCGTTACGTTGCGGAGCTTGGTGGTGGTCGGCCAGCCGTTCGCGGTGGCATGTAGGTAGGGAAGGTTTTTGGGGTTGGGGGGGATGGGTCGTTGGTTCGTTCCTTTTTCTTTTTCTTTTTTCGGTGTGGGAGGGAGGATGGAAGTATCTCCTCTCCCCCCTTTTCTTTTCTTCCGTTTAACTGGCCGAACGCAGACCAAACGAAGCGACGAAACGATCGGAGGATCAGAGGCGCGCTAGTTAAATAAGTTGTTGGGTTGTCGGTTGATATAAACTCAAGAGCAAGAATGTGTTTTTCTTTCTTTCCTCTTTGCCCCACGTTTCCGTATTTGGTCTTAATGAGAGAAAGCAAGCAGGCGTCGTGGTAATTGCCATCGTAGTGGG